CCCCAAAACCCCAAAACCCCAAAACCCCAAAACCCCGATTTGAATTCAATCTGTTGAATAAAGTATTAACCACCAAGAGAAATTATATACAATTTTAAAACCCATTTTTCAAATCATTGCCCTAATTCAAAGACTCATTAAATCCCTCCATATAGTTTACAATGCCTTAACACACACCTTTGAGAGTGAACTAAAATTATCCAAAGTCAGGTCAACTCCCATAGTAAAAAGTGTCTATTTTTCATTCCAATGAACCTAAAAAGTTTCAAAACTTTTCTTCATATAACTCGGCAAACAGCATTCCCTCAACCAATTGTTTCAAACTTGACAGCCTAAGTTTGCAAGATAAGCAGGAAAGTTCTGGTTTGAGCATTAATGAAGTAGTAAACAGCTTCTCTGGATAAAGATTGGAACAATATTTTATAATTCTACATTGGAAGTTGCAGCCCAAGAAAGAGAACGAATTAAGGCCCAGGTGATCAGGTAAGTAATGTCTTGTTTTGACCTCCCGTTGCTTAAATGACGATATTCGTATGGTTGAATAGAGAGAGTGTGTTTAAAGCTCATTCGTGTCTTTAAAATTATGATATTGAGGATTTCAAAGGATATTTACCCAAAAATAGTAAAGAAAGTACATAATTTTGAATATCAGTATTTCAACTTGCTTGCAATGATAAGTCTATCCTTGTTATAGTTTAAGAAATTGTTAAGCTGATCTTAAAACCTACCATTCTTGAACAGCACCTTTGATAAAACACTTTCGTTTTACGACTAGTTTCTGTATTGGAGAAGATTTGGAGGCTTGATTCTTCCATAAAACCCCATATCTTGAGCTTAGCCTGTGACTATTATTCATAAGTCAAAGGGAAGGCATATTTTTAAATTCTACTAAACTAATTGAGTTATTGATTACAATCAATCATAATTCTATAAATTCTGTAGTGTATTATAAATTGACTTTCTGAACTCTGATGAATTATTTAATTGAGAAGTTGAACTACATACAAAGAGTCGGCAACAAGAAAGTCAGAGATGCGAGAGTATTCACTATAACATTTTTGGAAAAGAAATATACTTAACATATTAGAATTAGAACTTGGAGGGTATTCATATCATAAGACCACCATCTGTTGTGTTTTTGAGAAACTTGAGAGACATTAAGTTGATACGAAAAATGAGGCATATAAGGTTCATAAATTCAGATTGTATCAATTTAAAAATATAGTGATTAAAAGAATCATGGGCTGAATTTTATTATGTTTTCATTCCCGAAATATGTTAATTGACTTTGTATTGATTTTTCATTGCAAATGAGCATTAACAGGAAAGGTTTCTTTATTTGTTGTCTAAATGGATATTAGAATGTACAATCTTGGTTTATTGTAAGAGACGAGTTAAATTATTACCAATGCTGGGTTTAGTTTGCATTGATAGTATTTTATTATTTTCAGCATGAAAATTTGAAGAGTTGTATTATCAAGTTATCAGATTTTTCTTTTCAATGATGGTAACATCCCTTATAATCCTATCAGAATTTAATAGGGTTTAGCAACTTGAGAACTCTATATCAATTCATTAAACCTAAAATGTAAACTTCAGAGGGCAGCTATTTTGATAAAAAATGCTTAAAAATAGCTGGTTGGAAATATTTTTTACTCTAAGACTATCACTAAAATCTTAAAATTGTGCTTAACAAATCTTAGCAATGGCAATTAATTTTACACTACTTATCGAGTGTGAAAATTTAAAGTATGTTCTTCTGATGAGAAGTGTTAAACTGAGAGAATTTTAATTAAACTATTCCTGAACCCTAAAAGTATGAGAAAAACATTACTACAAGTGTATTTTTTTAACATTATCCAAAATAAATTAGCAACAAATGGAATAGTTAGTGGCTATTGAGGATATGTAGACAAGTAAGGTTCTCAAGTAAACTACAACAAACTTTGATTTATTATGGTATTTCAAGAGTGAAGAATAATAATAACTGACTCTAACTCTACGACGGTGTCTCCCTTCAATGGTTGAAGTGAGTTCTCCATTTTAATATAATAAAATTATTTTATTCTCAATCTTTCCTAGAAGCTCTGGGGTTTTGGGGTTTTGGGGTTTTGGGG